CCTCCTGGCTCGGTCCCTCCATGTTTGCTGGGTTCGAGTGAAGCCAGAGATTCCTTATGAGACTCAAACCAGACCCCAGAAACCCTCAGGCCCCAGGATCATGGGTTGGTTTGGAGAATTTCCATCCCAGGTTTGGATCCCAACCTAAAGAGCTGGTTGTTCTTAAACCTTATTAGTCTGGGCCTGCCCTGCTATATCTCAAATCCTGGGGGAATGACGGATGTATCAAAGCTCCTTCTATAGGATTCTCCTTACTAGGAGGGTCTGGAGCTAGCCTTCTAGAGGAGACTCTGAAAAAAGAACATTGGCACCTCGCCAAGAGGACCCAGGCAGACTGATCCAGTTTCCAGAGCTCAGTGGACAGAAGCCACATCAGACTCTAGAGTACAAAAGATCCTTGGTCGATCAGAAAAGGGCAGGAGAAAGAGCAGCTGTTTAAACCTAACCAGAGCCCTCTTCCTTAGGCGCACATCCTCTTGAGTAATTTCCTTCCAGAGATTTCTGAGGCTGAAAACTCTAAGGAATGTTTTACCTCTGGTTTCTGAAGGCAAGTTCACTCTCTGACTGAGTGGGCAGTATGAAAGCGGATTGCTTAATCCATGGACATTTCCCTCTGTGCAGTCATGACGTGAAGCGTGCCACCACCAAATTTTGACACGGATTGCAGTTCCCATCACTTAACACATACGCATTGCAATTTGGCACGTACTGTAATTCCTTTCCATTCCTTAGCCCAGCCTCAGACTGTCAAATGCTGAGGAGCCTGGAATAAGTGAGGCATTTACTGTCAAGTAACAGAGGCATTTACCGTCAAGTAATCAAGCTATCATTTCCCGACACCTGCCTAGAGGTGGGCAGATCCCCAAACGCACAGTTCACGTGGTGGCCACTGCATTATGACGTGACCCCCTCATTATAACCAGCGGCTTTAAGCTCTGGTCAGGCAGAGCTTGTGTTCCATCTAAATCTAAGAGAAAGCATACGGAGCCTATGCTGAGATGGTCTGTGGAGTGGTGCCTCTGACTAAGGTCAGCTGGTGGTGTGGCCCAGAAGAAAGAACACTCATCACCAAGGGCCAGCTCCGCCTCCCACATCGCAGCGGGAATTCAGGCGCAAACTGCTCTCCTACGCACTTCAGTGTCCCACTAAGGAGATCCTTATCATCATGCTTATCTCATGGGATCTTTATGAAAACGAGTGAGACGCTTACATGTCATACTAACATTAGGTTACGTTATAAATTGCCTTAGTGTTCAACTGTTCTTGCAAATGATGCTCCAACAGATGTCAGCGGAGGGGCAGGTTCTGATGCTTCTAGAATGAATACCTTCTTCCACCCCAGCTCAGCCCCGGGCCAGATTTCTACAAGCCCACCTACGTGGCAACTTCATTTTAGGTCCTTTTTAAGGCTACGTGCAGCCTTTTGAACTGTTTGATCGGCTTAGAATTTTACTGGGAGGTAAGTAAACATCAGCTCCACCTAACCGCCTGGAAGCCGGAGGAGTTAGTAGACTGAAAAATGAAGCGCGCTCTCCATGTGAGCAGGAACTCGTCTCCCCGGGACAGCTGCTGGCCTCGAGGAGCTGGCCGTGACAGACAGGGCACTGGCACGTTCACGGAGAAGGGACTGGGGTCCAGA